GGGCCTCTGAGTTAGTTAGGCCCTGGGCACTCGAATGTGAGGCCGACAATGCATGCTGGGTATAGAGGCCGAAAATGCCAAAGGGAAATCGGCCCACTATCTGAATCTGGCCTCAGGCCTTGATGAAAGAGGCACAACTGCATTGCCCCAGGGCCCAACTGTATCGGGTTGGCTTCAGCCTCTGGGTCCCGGTCACAGGCTGAAGGGAGGCCGCCCACACGCTGCACTGGCATATAGGCAAGCAGGGCGAGTGGGCAGGGATCTTGGCCATTGCGGGCAATGCCGGCACGCTGCGCATTATGCGAGCTGCTGCTACTGCTGCGCTGCGCTAAGAGAGGTGCAAGGCAGGCCAGCGCTAGGCGGTACGGCGCTGCCTGCGCACCAGGGCACTTGCGGCCATAGCCGGGCCGCATGAGGGTGCAGTGAGGGTGAAGGGCGAAGGTGGTCTTCGAAGTTGAAGGGCGCTGTGTGGGTAACAAGGGAGAGTGTGGGGAAGAGGCCACGTACCTGGTGGAGGTGGAGGTCGGCATTGGTGTTGACATCATCACTCGCTGGTAGTCAAGTTGTCTGGTTGCTTTCATTGCTGTAGTTGTAGGCTAGGCTGTAGAGTAGATAGGGCGCCTGGCGCCATTCACAAGAGAGAGCTACATTTGGGTTATGCTGTTGGTGTTGCCCTGTTGGGCATGGACATTGACTCACGATTCTTCTCTATCATTCTCAATGGGATGGTTACTCGGTTCCATGTGCTATCTGCTTTGGCTTTGACTACCTGGACTTCAGTGTGATTTTGCATTCTGGATTTCTGTGCTTCGTCCATATTCATGTTCCTTGCAAATGGAACTTGTCGAGGAAAGAAGATCGGAAAAGAGGGAGAGCCCATTTTGCAAACAGTGGCAGCGATTCTCTGACTTGACTGATTCTTACAAGGTTGCGTGTCACCCTCTGTCTCACTCAGTTGTGTTCACAACACCTCTTGAGACGTGGAGCATCTGCCCCTCACAACCATTGAACCATGGTACAATGTCAAGGTCGAGAACCGCATTTGAATACAGATCCGTAGATTCAGTTCTAGTATTGAATTTGTCGGCAGCACTCCATGGATTCTAACCGACTATCTTGGCGAAAGTTGCGGCTAACAGCCGCAGCTCCTGGCAGATGTCTTGGCCACTGGAACTGTGGTGCAGTTTTCAGGAGTGGAATCAGGCAGGAAGGGATCCATTTGTTTGCTTGTTTTGTCCGCAGTGGTGTTCAGGCCTCTCTGCTAAAGAACTTTTCTCTTTTTAACAAGTTTCTATTCGGTTCATTTTGGTGATGGATGTGTTGCGTGATGACAGACAATTGCAGAGCGTGTCTCTTTCAGTATTTCACTCAGGGAGTTCCCTCCTTCACATGCGTTACACAGTGAGTGTATCTTCATTGCCTGATGGGTCTATGGTGATCTGTTCCATGTACAGGGTTATGCTGCTGGAGCCTCTCTTTGTTCCTGCTCGAAGAACGTTGACAAGCTTGATTTTGCGTATTGGGCGAAATGGGACGCTGCCCATGTCAAAAGACAGTAAGGGCATATGCACACTGGGACTTTCAGGGGCGCATGTGACCGCAATTGCATTCAAAATCACAAGTTCGGTTGGAAAAGCTCAAGTGTGGGGATGCTCCAAATTACTCCATGTACCGGAACTGTACTCGCTGCCATAATGTCACTGCAGTTTGTTATGTTTCGTGGGAGATGCTCTCTGGATGTTGCAGCCACGGCATCCTTAATTTCACTTTGCTGTCTTAACTCCATGGGATATACTCCACGTGTTTGGGGTCTTATCACACTGACATCTCACAATCGTGAAGTACAGAGTGCCACATAGTCAAAGTGCTGCAATTGCAGCGAAGACAGTCCGACACATTAAAAATATGAAATACAAAATGAAACATCATAAGCACATACGGATGGGGTGCTCCTCGCAGCACAGAGTGAAAGCACAGCATATGTTCGGGGTCTGTTCAAAACTCGGAATCATATTGGTACAGCTCCCTACTCACTAGCAGACGCACACTCGTCTACCTGCTACGTGTACCTGGATTTGTGGCACCTGACAGCTGAACCCGATAGAATGGATGGAGCCAAAGGAATGTAAGATACAAATATGTATCGATGTGCACTGTCTATTTCTCTCCCACTTTGAGGATTGAGGAGGATTGTGAAGGATATCAGCTTGTTTTGCGGTTTATCGTGTTGACCTCCATGGTCAGGCCGGGTGACGCTGCTCGATGGTACATGGTGTGTACTATGGGGGGTCTCTTATCTGCTACTGTAATGGGCTTCTAGATTCAGCGGTGCTCGATATATGCCTGTTGTAACGGGATTCTGGATTCAGTGGTGCTCGATATATGCCTGCTGTAAGGGGCTTCTGGATTCAGTGGTGCTCGATCATGCTTCACAGTTTTTGGAGGGGAAGGTATACTGCGTAGCCACACGGGCCCTACAGGGCCCGTCCCAGACAGTCAGCCTAAAAGCCTAAAACTTAGGGCTTACAGGCCCCGGAGACGTTTCAGCCTGACAATCGAGTTCAGGCCCTACAGGCCCTAAAACGGTT